AGTAAAATGTAATGTGGCGCGAGTAAAAATTGGGTTACGATCAATCCAATTTTAAAGTTGTTTCGGTATGGTCCTCAATTTTTTTTATTATGTACTAAACCGCATCGGTTTATTTACAATAAACTCTGTGCATTTTGTTTAAATTTTCATTCCATTACTTTTAAAAAATTGATGGAGATTTTCTAAGGGTTTCAAGTTCTTAGATGCCAGGAATATATTTATGGTGAATGGTCTGAGACCGCGAAGTTGAATCAATTTATTTACCATTTGTTTTCTTCCTTTAAAGTAGAAGGGACAATACCAGATGACGTGATCTATATCTTGTGTCTGAGAATTATCTCCACAACTGCATTACAATATTTTCGTCACTCGGCCCGATAAACGGCGCTTACTCGGGCTCTGTCGAGAGGGGGTAAAGAGAGTTTACCGCGGCACTTGAATAATCGGTGCTCCAAGGAGGGTAAATGAGACGCTCGGTGCTCCAAGGAGGGTAAATCTCACTTACCCATCCTAGGAGCGATAAAGTGGGCGTCACCATGTGCCCTGACGTTCCCCCCACTTGGGCATGCGCTCTGCGTTCGGGTAAACGTATAGTCGGATGAGCTGTACAGCGCCTCTAGCGGCCTTCTCTACAACTTAACCCACTAGTGGTAGCCATGTTGTTGTGTGTCATTGAGAAGATTTATCATTAGAAAAAAGTCACTCTCCGAGTTTTTGTTCAATTTAAAGTTGATATTTTTGTTCAAAAAACAACAATTTCTAAAATATCAGTATTTATAACGTCGACTTCTGTTCTTAATAAAAGAAGAAAAATTGAACAGCTGAGTATCTTCTTTTATCTTTGATATCTGTTCTTATTTTCTATTTTTTATGCAATTTTCTTTTCACAGGTCCAAAATTACCGTCATCAACCTACTGTTTTTGGATATTTTGGCGGACTTTACTAGTTATTTATTTTCGCATCAACTGATATTGATTTTATTTCGATTTATTTTTTTCTATTGCTTTTATTTTTTTCTTCAGGGGGACTTCGTCCCCCTGGACCCCCTCCCGCGCCCACACCCGCGTCGGGCCTTCGTGACGAAAAATAGTATATGCCATTCGGGCGATAGCGTTGGTTTGTGAGTCGTGTGGAGTTTGCAACACTCGGCATGGCAAGCGTCCGACTCGGATCGCCTTCGGCGATCCTCGTCTCCTGCTTGCCACGCCTCTTGCTGCAACTCCACACTCCTCACAAACCGCCGCTTATCGCCCTCATGACATAATGTACTATTATTCTATACAATGATCCTATCGTAAAAAGGAGAAAGGAAATCGATCTCGAAATATCTCGAAAATCTCGAATAAGCGTAAGCGTAAGACTGAAATCGAAGCGCCACTACGTGAGGAGATGAGAAGGCGCGGCCGATCTCGTTTATTCAGATTGTAGTGATTTGATCTTTCCTTATTGACCCAAGCATCGAATTCTCTGGGGAGTTATCATTCTATATACCACGATTTTTGATTATTTATCCAAAATTTGCTGAAGTAATATTCGCCTTTCGGTTTATTCTTTTGTAGATTCGGCTAGGGTGGTATTGCAGCTGTTTTTTTTATTTACTTAAGCAGTTCTGAACAATTACACTTCAATTTGCATCGATATTTTTTGTTAAAAACATAAGATCATGTGAATTGTTTACAGATGTTGTGGTATTTTAGAACTACTAACAATACACTTCAAATTTTTATGGAACATTTGACAAGAAACCTGTTCATTATAACAAGACAGTTTTTATCTAGTCTAATTAGGGTATTGTTGACATAGCTTTCTGAGTTGAATAGTATTTTAGGGAGTACCAACAGAACTCAATATAAGTAGCAATAGTAATCCAGTACTCATAATTTTTCCATCAATTCATTCAAGATTACAAATCGAGATTCAAATGTTGAAGCACAAATGAACACAGAAAAATCTGAAGGTAAAATACGTTTTTGAAATGATAATTCACGTTTTTAAAAACGTAATTTACGTTTTTCTCAAACAGGTAAATTATGCTTTTGAGATTGTAAATTATGGCCAGAATAACGTGAATTACGATTCTCAAAATTGGACATCAATTCGTTTTGGAAAGCACCCATAAAAATCACAATTTACTGATTTTTGCTTACAAAACATTTTCTCCTGAATACTTCTATTTCCAAAAATGCATAAGAAAACTCACTTTATCCGTCGATAATATTCGCTTTTCTCGATGAAGTAATCAATTGAAAGTACTAAAATTAAGTCATAAAAGTAGGGGAGAGTAGGGCAAAACGAACCCCTAGGGCAAAACGGACCACTGACAGAAAATTGATAATTTTTGTTTCTGCTTGCGAATAGCAGCAAATTTCCAAATGACTTTGAAATTCAAAGTCATTTGTGGTTTGAGGTAATTAGCAAATTGATTAAATTGCGGTTCAACAACACTTCTTGTCTATAAAACCCCTGTGACGGTTACGACCCAAGAAACTCATTTTTAATTCAACACATTCAGTGTTCCTGATTTGAAAGACAGAAAGAAAAAAATTACCAATTTTCTGTCAGTGGTCCGTTTTGCCCTACCCTCCCCTACTTGAGAGAAGTTCAAAAATTATTTTTCACCAATACCTTTGGTACTTGTAAGAAGTACTAACAGAACTAGCAGAAAGTAGTGAAGCTACTTCCTCCCAGCACTATTTCTACTTGATCGACAGAAGTGGTACTTCACTCAAGTATACAAAAAGTACTTGGGACAAGTATTTTTCGAACATTTACAAGTGAACTTCCCCCAAGTATCGGTCCGTACTGGTGCGAAGTACATTTTTCTTTGGGTGTACTTAAATCAAGTATATTATATATTTTTTCAAGTATATTTTATTCTTGACTCAGGTTTATGCATATACTTGATTCCGGTATAAAATATGCTCCATTCTGCCATTTTTTTCCGTGTCACATTGTAATTTTTTATTTCATGTTCTCTCCGTGTATAGAATGACCATCTTTATAGTGTTTTGAACAGGAACTCCTAGCCTGTATTACAATCCGCAAGTTCGTTAAATTTCAAAAATTTTGTTTACATCCTCATCATTTATAAAACTACTTTCCTCATTTGATTACCATTATTTCCGGCCTGAAACAAACAAGAACTCTTACATGAGCCATAAAAAAGTGAATGGAAGGTGAAACAAGGGATGCTCCACGGGGTAGTATAATTTACCTAAATGGGATGTTAGGATCTAATAACTCGTTCTCACCTGCTGTGAGTTCCTGGAGTATCGAAGGTACGAGTTTATCATGGAATGAGTGGGGAAGGCCTGCAACGCCTCTCTTGTCGTAAACGCTCGGTGTGCCCATCGTTGCATGACTGCAATTATTCGCTCGGACGAATCGCCTCTAACGCAAAGGCAGGTTCATTAACGTGAACTTGACTGGTACTACCGTGACGCGTAACAATTATAGTGCATTTTCGGGAAGTGGTATGAAAGTTTCGATGCGACAGCAATTAAGATGATACGGAATCAACGGTTCTTTCGTAATGATCATCTGCTGTGTCATGTGAAGATCTCTTCGGGCTGCACTTTTAAATTTATGCGTTGGCAATTTCAATGAAAGGAGCATTATTACTGTTGGTTGCAAAAATGATAATAACGGGCATTAATAATTGATCATGATTATTTCATTTTTGTTCATCACAGCGAAACCTTTATGGGAGAAATTTCGGGGAAATATCCTAGTGCTGTATCGGGATCAAGAACGAGGGCCTAATCACTCCTCAAGTCATTGTAACTTTCGTCATTTAAACATGTCAATGATTTTTAGGAATCTATCACCAATTACTGGTGTTATTTGACACTAGAATAACTCCAATCATCAATGATTTTTGTGACTCTCATTTGGTGATAAATTCCTAACAATTAGAGACGGGTCATAGAGACGGGATTGAAAATCACTGACATTTGCCTGAAAATTAGTGACGATTAGTGATGTCGCGAGATATATCACAAGGCATCACGAACCAATACTGTGGAGGGATCGGCACGATCTCAGAGACGACGAAAATTTTTGGTCTCATCTCGGTTCCAAACCGAACCAAAAACCAAGATTTGACATTGAAAAAAATACAAAAAACGTGAGACTGAGTTGACATAAATTGTTTCTTAGTCATAATGAGAGGAAACGATACTGTCTTTCAAGATTAAGACGAAATCAAAGATTTCCATGTTTAATGAGAGTGAGACCATCTCTCCAAAGTGCAGTCTCGTGATCAGTCCCTCGCGCCATCACTAGTGATGATCACGGATGTGAGATAACGTCATGTTTCAAAATCTGTCAGAATTTCAAGCAACTAGATAGATGTAACGTGACTGTCATGAATTTTTCTGTCACGGAAGCTTGTCACAAATTTCCCAACTTCACCGGTTTTTCGTTGCAAGGGTCAAGGGCATTCAGCCAGGAAATCTTGAATGTAGAGTGAAAATTTCTGATTTAGAATTGATGCAATCATTGAAAGTCAACTGCATTCATAAAATCATGTTGCGTGATACTTAAAGTAATTGAAATCCTATTTTCCTGAAATCAGTAAAATGAATAACCACTAAAATGGACTTCATTTCGAAGTCATGGTGTCACTCGATTATGGAATGAGTATCGAGCAAGAAAGTGCACTCAAAAGGTGGTGTTTGTTTATAAACTCTTCTCTATCAACAAAGCAAACACAATTGGACAACCAAACTGTTCTAAGTTTCTGAACTTATTAACGCACACTTATTAATTTCGCGTTATTCTTCTTCCACTCCAACATTTATCGATTAATATCAGAAACTATCTCGACTCTTCAGATTCTTCGTCTAAATCCCTTCATCCACATATATTCGCTAAACAATCTCCACTCAATTTGCCAACTCCCCAAAAACTTCTCCAATATTTGAATTCATCTCATTATCTGTTAAACCCACAATCTTCCCCAAAAACTCCGACTAACCCCAACCATTTTCTGTTACAGACAAATCCACATAACAACTTGCGCCTACAACTTGCGAAAACTTGTAAGAATGGAGCGTTACGAGGATGAAGGTGCAGAGGACAGTGACAACGAGACGGATCCTGAGCAACTTCTCAACGAGTGGTTGGGCGAACTCGACAGTCTAACAGTGGTGAGTCACTCTATTCGCCAGTACCCAGCCTCCGCATCTCCACCCCCCACAAATCCATAGTTACACTGAGGGAAGAAAAAAAATCATGATTCAAGTAGTTCCAATTGGATCATTTGAAGAAGAAAAGTCTCAAATCGTCACCTACTCGATTAAAGCGTAAATCAATGCATTGATTCAAATAAAAAAAACAACCTGTTTCACATAGTACATGAAGACTTTATTTAAATCGAGAAATACTTGATTCAAATTAAATTGATACTTGATTCAACTGCAGTGTTTCCTCAAATTTTCCGGGAAAGCTTCGATTTTTTTTTAATATAGAAAACCCTACCTTGTTTTTTTACAAAACACAAATTTCATGAAATTCTCCAGAAGATTTTAGAATTTTCGAGACGGTTCTAGAGTTTTCCAGACGTTTTTACATTGCTTATTACAATATTCTCGTATTTTCTCGAAATTGCCAGAGAATTCAATATTATTTGGAAAAAAACCTGGCTTTTCTCGAATATTTTCGGAAACTACCGAAATCCTTCGATTTTTTTTCAGAAAGTCTTGAATTTTCCATAAAACCCTAGGATTTTTTCGAATTTTTCAGAAAAACGTTGAATTTTCCCAATTTTTTTGTGAAAACCTTAGTATTTTTTTATTGTTTAAAGTGGTCAATTTATTATTAAAGTATTTACACTGACGTTGGCTTTACACAATGTTCAAAATTTCGGTTTGTGTTTCACATTATTGATATAAATCATTTAAATTTACGATTTGTCGTTGGTTAGTGTTTAAACTACACTTTTATGGTATATTCTTTCAATTAGTCACAAATTTGTCCAATATATTTGAAATCAGTTCTTTATAATCAATTTCTTGTAAATTTTTCAGTGTTATATCGAGGAGAGAAGTTTTTGGCCCCAACTTATTCAACAATTTATCACGTTGTTGATCATACTTTATATAATATCATAAAATGTAATCAAAATCTTGAGACTTCAGTAAAAACTCAGGGGTTTTTGTAATTCCCTTGGGCTGACGAGAATTTTATAGAAAACCGGATAATTTTCTCTAATTTTTTACAAAAATCAAAAATTTTCTAGAATTTGTGGCATAAAGACTTCTTTCCAAAATGACCCCCCCCCCCCTGATGAAAACATGGATGTATCCAGGTCAAAATATTTCTAGGGCACCGATCCGGCATTTACACAAGTGCATTCAAAAAAATTACTCTTCCATAAGGATAAAGTGCTCTAGCGACTCGAATCAAGTATCAATTCAAATTAAATCGATTTCCAGAATCTACGTGAATGAAGTTGCATTCGATTTGAATTGAGTTGTTATACCGACTTGCATCACACTTTTTAATTTTTTAATAATTTGATATTTTTCAATAATTTGAAACCGTTATCAACGGTTTGAGACTCCACTCAAAACGCTATTAAATTACTCGATTTTCGACTTGATTCATGATTTTTTCTTTTTCGGTTTACGACTTCAATAAAAAACGTGAACAAAACCAAGCCGCCGCATAAAACTAATCCAAAGCAATTCGCGTTAATCACTAATGGTAACATTATGTAGAGTCAGCTGATGCTGACGCGAGTCAAACTCTTTCCCATAAAACGAGAGTGAATTGAACGAGTTGTATTTGGTTTGGTGCACATTCCTCAATTGATGTCAATTGATGTGTACAAATAAATTCACTGCAGCTTCGAGCCCCACCAATATTATCATTCGCAGCTACTATTTAGACCGAAATGTTTGAGTGAGCATCGAAACGCAAAGAACATCTGTGTACAGGAATATAATGCATCAATGAATGTTAAAGTGAAACGCTTCAATAACACGTTGTCCCTTGATTACCGGCGCAAATACCAATTCCAACAAAGCCTAAAAATTTCTACGCGTTATAGACTTTGCACACATCACTGCAGCTTCTATTGCTCTCAATGGTGTTCGCAATAGTTCTCTCGTGAATAATTTGCAATTCACCACGCAACAGTCGCCAGGAAACCGACTATTCTCGACGATTGACAGGGGTGTGTATATCACGTTTCAAATTCTCTAGAGCTCGATGTGGAATATCGTAACTGTGAGTTTTCCGGTGGTCTATGAGTCTACGGTTGAATGTTATAAATAGTTTATTGACATGACGAAGGAGCATTCTCCATTCAAATGATCGCTGCGGATTATCGCGCACCTGAAATTGACAAGTTTGATGGCGACAGGGAATGATTTGATGTAATTTACTGTGAGGGAGTCAATGCAGAAGTTATATTTCTTACTTTGGAAATTTATTCACATGACGAAGGAGCATTCTCGATTCGAGTTATGCTTGCGGATTATCTCGCACCTGGGGACCTATCATGAAGAAAAAACGGAGCGTTCGCATCACGACACTTTGCTTGGAAACAATTAAAATACATTGTTTTTATTGCTTTTTAATTTATCATGTGATGCGAATGTTTCGTTTTTCCATCATGACAGGCCCCGGAAGTTGTATTCTTTATTTTGATAGTTTATTGACATGACGAAGGAGCATTATCGATTCGGATGATCGTTATGGATTATCTCACACCTGGCATTCACATTTTGAATGATGATAATGAATGAATTGAAGGAATTTTATTGTGAAGGTGTCAATGCCGAAGTTATATTTCTTACTTTAGTAATTTATTAACATGACGAAGGAGCATTCTCGATTCGAGTTATGCTTGCGGATTATCTCGCACCTGCACGGAGAGAAATTTTTGATAAAAATTATCTTCCGTTCTATAAAAGTGTACCATGAGTCATCGTTTCCTCATTTCTATCCCGAAATTTAGTCAAAATAAATATATAGTGATCAAATTTTATTCTACGTTAGAGAAATTTTATCCAGACGCATAATAAATTTTACCCTTCCAGTCTAATAGTTTTTATGTAGATAACAACGAAAATTCTAGAACGGTTGGTAAATTTTACCCTACCGGTACAGTAATTTTTACTCTACCAGTACGGTAATTTTTATTTTTATCAGGATAAAATTTCTTTAACGTAGAATAAAATGTGATCATCATATATCAATTTTGACTAAATTTCGGGATAGAAATGAGGAAACGATGACTTATGACCACTTATGATCACTTTTATAGAACGGTAAGATAATTTTTATCAAAAATTTCTCTCCGTGTGGGGACCTATTATGAAGAAAAAACGGAGCGTTCGCATCACGACACTTTGCTTGGAAACAATTAAAATACATTGTTTTTATTGCTTTTTAATTTATCATGTGATGCGAATGTTTCGTTTTTCCATCATGACAGGCCCCGGAAGTTGTATTCTTTATTTTGATAGTTTATTGACATGACGAAGGAGCATTATCGATTCGGATGATCGTTATGGATTATCTCACACCTGGCATTCACATTTTGAATGATGATAATGAATGAATTGAAGGAATTTTATTGTGAAGGTGTCAATGCCGAAGTTATATTTCTTACTTTAGTAATTTATTAACATGACGAAGGAGCATTCTCGATTCGAGTTATGCTTGCGGATTATCTCGCACCTGCACGGAGAGAAATTTTTGATAAAAATTATCTTCCGTTCTATAAAAGTGTACCATGAGTCATCGTTTCCTCATTTCTATCCCGAAATTTAGTCAAAATAAATATATAGTGATCAAATTTTATTCTACGTTAGAGAAATTTTATCCAGACGCATAATAAATTTTACCCTTCCAGTCTAATAGTTTTTATGTAGATAACAACGAAAATTCTAGAACGGTTGGTAAATTTTAACCTACCGGTACAGTAATTTTTACTCTACCAGTACGGTAATTTTTATTTTTATCAGGATAAAATTTCTTTAACGTAGAATAAAATGTGATCATCATATATCAATTTGGACTAAATTTCGGGATAGAAATGAGGAAACGATGACTTATGACCACTTATGATCACTTTTATAGAACGGTAAGATAATTTTTATCAAAAATTTCTCTCCGTGTGGGGACCTATTATGAAGAAAAAACGGAGCGTTCGCATCACGACACTTTGCTTGGAAACAATTAAAATACATTGTTTTTATTGCTTTTTAATTTATCATGTGATGCGAATGTTTCATTTTTCCTTCACGACAGGCCCCGGAAGTTGATGACATGACGAAGGGGCATTATCGATCTGGATGATCGTTATGGATTATCTCACACCTGGGATTCACATTTTGAATGATGATAAGGGATGAATTAAAGGAGTTTGTTGTGAAGAAGTCAATGCAGAAGTTATATTTGTTACTTTAGCAATTTATTGACATGACGAAGGAGCATTCTCGACTCGAGTTATGCTTGCGGATGATCTCGCACCTGGAGATCTATCATGAAGAAAAAACGGAGCGTTCGGATCATGTTGTTTTGCTTGGAAACAATTAAAATACCTTGTTTTTATTTCTTTTTAATTTACCGTGCGATGCGAACGTTCAGTTTTTTCTTCATGATACGCCCCCAGAAGTTATATTCCTTATTCTGATAGTTTATTGACATGACGAGGAAGCATTATCGATTCGGATGATCGTTACAGATTATCTCACACCTGGAATTCACATTTTAAAGGAATGAATTGGAGGAGTTCATTGTGAAGGACTCAATGCAAAAGTTATAGTTCTTACTTTGGAAATTTATTGACATGACGAAAGAGCATTCTAGATTCGACTGATCGTTGCGGATTATCTCGCACCTGAAATTAACATCTTGGATGGTGATAGGGGATGATTTGATAGAATTCAGTGTGAGGGAGTCAATGCAGAAGTTATATTCGTTACTTTGGCAGCCCGAGTGGAAATTCTGTTCAGGTCTCGATCAGAAACTAATCAAGTCCGATCCGAAATTCTGATCAGGCATGTTACGCCTCTGCCTTAGGTTTTTCCACTAGGGCGTTTATTGACATGACATGGGGGCATTATCGACTGGCATAATCGTTGTGGATTATCTCACACCTGGAATTCATATTTTGAATTCTGATAAGAAACGA